ACAATTTTGAAAACTGAAACTCCCATTTTCTTCAATGTCTCTGTCTCTCTCTCTCTCTCTCTCTCTCTCTCTCTCTCTCTCTCTCTCTCTCATCTCCGTCCCCTCGGCGATCTATCTCCCCGAGCAAACCGATTTGTAATTGTTCTTGTTGGCGCTTATACAATTCGCATTGTTTGCATTGTTGCAGCTATTCTAATGACAACGCACAAAAAAAACCCACCGACAACGACGACCGACCAGCGCAACGATGACAGCAACAACAACAACCAGAATGACAACGAACGAAACGAATAATGAAAATCAACAAATTGGATACTTAAAACCCCAAGCTGGCTATAAAACTGAAATGAAATGAATTGTTCATATTATTAATTTGAGAGAAAATGCGCTTCGCTCAAATTAAGTGGAATTTATGGAAATGAATCGGGCATTTTTAGTGTTTGTGTTTGGTGTGCGTGTGCGTGTGTTTGCGACTATTACAGTTCCGCATCGCAAATAAAATAGAATGCTTAAATGCAACGTAACCACTCAATAATATCCAAGTTGATTCTTGTCTGTTGTAATATCCTTGAATTTCATCTTGAGCATTCGAAAAAAAGACGGGAGACTGGGCGATTGGTCGATCGGATGGTCGAAGCGGACGAACGAACGTATGAGCCAGTCAGTCAAGCCAATATGGGGACGAAGACGCTGTTGAGCACTTTAACACATATATTTTACGAGTGAATGCGATTGAATGACTTCATTTGTACCTTCTAGGCGAACGGAGACGAGCGCCTAAATCGAAAAACCCACCCAAACGAAAATTCAACTCTCAATTTAGATATGCAGATCTTTTAAATCTGTAACCAATTTTGCGAAACATGAAAATTCATATCAAACTGATCTCTTTTTACAGCCGTCGTCGTGGTTGTTGCCGTCGCCGCTGCCTTCGTTTCCATTCGCAATGAAAGGGAATTTTTTTTATAACTTGTCGTTTTGTGAGAAGTTTCACGCTTGAAGTCATGAATTTTACTGCTGATTCAGTCATCAAGAAAACCCAAAAAGAAGCAAGAGAAAATGAGAGAAAGCAAAAAAAATGTTGCCATACCGATTTCGATATGGCGATAATACTGTCGAAAGAAAAAGAACGGCTGACTGACGTTTCGTCAATGACGAACAGCCAACAATTGCTGTAAACGAATCGTTTTTTTTTTGTCACAAGGTGAAACCGGTTTGGCCAACGAAATTCTCGTATTCGATTGTATTTGTTTGCGAAATCACATTTATACGAATGAAAAACCTTTGACTTTTACGCATTACATATGAATTATCAGTTGTCATTGATTAGATGACTTGAAATACGAGACAGTAAAACAAAATTTCCCATGTGAATTACCCATCGGTTTTGTCAGAACCAATAAAAATGATGGAAGTTTTGAAACAATCGTATTTTCATATGTTTTTCTAGAATCAAAATCGACCACTTTGATGATTACTGTGGAACATTTAGATAATTAGTTTGTTCATTGAAATGGCTTTTAACTCGTAATGAGTTACTCGTTTCAAAATATTATCACAAAAATTATTCACTGATGGTTAACGAAAATTGACTTAGAAATCAATTTTTTGTTCTACTTTCAATTTGAAAACACGTCAAAGAGTCGAAAGTCGAAATATAGAACAATATTTTTAAAAATTCAGTTTTATAACTTTACTGGTTCATTTCAGGAGGTTAGACAATTGGTTTCATTGATTTGAGCTAAACTTGTGATAAACAACAAGTCTTGTATTGCGTATGTGTCAAGCGTATTGTAAACCAAAGCAGCACAAAAGCTCTTTGTCCATACACCATGGCTGGCCTGGAATGGGTCTATCGCATGTTTTATGGTAAAACTCTGGTCTACATGTTGGTCTATCTTTTTGTTGTCTATTTGCGAAATTCAAAAAGCGATTTACATCTTCATAATATAGTTAGAAACAATTTTGAGTACATTCTTGAAACTTACCGTATGTCATATACTGTATATAAGCAGACACTGAACAAATGATGGCAAACAACACTAAAATTACACTAAATTTGACCTGCATTTCCTTCAAAGCTATTCCGAATCCCACTCTCTACAATGCTGTAAAATAGCAAAATGTTCAAAAGAAAAAGTTAACGCTTTCATTCTATGATTGGTTCTCACCTTCTTTCTCTATTCACCTGTTGTGAAAGATCTAAAGAGGTTTTGACCAAATTTTTCACATATTTGTAGCTCAAACCACGATTCTGTTATTCACCCGGTATTAATTGCATCGAAAATTTTCAGAATTTTTTTTTTGGTTTGATAATTACCCAAATTTAGTTGTTGTTGATTCAATGAGATGTTCTGAATACATTTTTTGGTCATGCTTCGATTTAATACGCTCAGTTTTAGTGCCATAAATTACTATTTTGCTGAACAGTTCAATTATCAAAGTGACGACACGTTTTGACGAAATTTACGGCAAACTCATGAACTAACGAAATTTCAATACAAAATGATACGAGAGTTCGTGGCGCTGCAAGCACTCAAAAGATATTTTTTACTGAAGTGTCGTCAGCTTGTCAATTATTATACCGTTAGAAAATTGATTATATTCACTTAATTTTCAGTGGAATTTACCTTCGATATTTTCATTTTGTCACTCTCATATCGAATTGCATGCAAAAGTGCTGTATGGCATGGTAATTTTCTATGAAAGTCCTTAAAAACGATTTGAGCGCCTCTCGTATTTTTATTGTAACATGACGGCTTTTGTATGGACTAACCATGAGGCCAAATCGAATGGGCAATTGCTATTTGGAAAAAGTTTTGGAAAAAATGTTCTTGCAATATACAAACGTAACGTTCATTTTCTATTTGATTCAGTGGTCTTTGTTTTTACTTCTTTGATTTGCGTTTGTGTGTGTGTTTTTTTCTTCGGTTGAGATTGTTCAAAATATATTCAAATTTCTTCGGCAATGGGAGATGCTGGGCCAAATTCGTTCGTTCATTCATTCATTCGTTTATTTTGGTGGTGAGAAAATTCTCCATTTTTGCTTGAGAGCACATGAAGAAGCAATCAACAGTTTCAAGGAGGTGGAACTAATGGCAGAGTTCAAATTCTGAATTCGAATGCTGTTGATTTCGAGTTTGAAAAATGATATCAAAGCCAATTCACATGAAAAATTTACGAGCTTTCTTTGCTTGATAGCTGTCTCTCGTTCGCTCGCTTCCTTTTCTTTCCTTCATTTCGTTTGCCATGCTCTTTAGCCACCCCGTACAATTTATTCGGAACGTGTGAAACTGCGTAGCAAGGTGGGAAATTGTTAAGAATGATGCGTCAATGAAACGAACTGTGGGAGCCGTACTGGAACGGAAATGAGAAAAAAGCCAACGAATGTATGAAGAAATGCGGCGAATAGTAAAAACAAACATACGACTGAGATCGAGAGTCGGCCGTACTCTAACTCTGTAGTAAAGTGAATGGGTGAGAGTGAGCGAGCGAGTGAGTAAGAGAGACGAAGCGATCGAATGAGGTGGCTTGTGCAATTTTCCAACGAATAAGCAAAATTCGCTTGGGGCACAGCAGTTGTCGACAGGCAGAAAAAGTTAAAGGAACCGAAGTTGAATATAATCAAGTAAAGCGCCGGCATATGCAATGTTGACGAAAACCTGTTTTGTGACATGTGTGTGTGTGTGTATGTAGAAGAAGACAGAAGTGGGGATAGAGAATGGATCAAGGCGACCCACTTTTTACCATTCATCCATTCGTACACAAACACACATGCAAACACATTCTGATTTGAGATTTCAGCAGTTCGATAGAAGAGAGGATAATCGTGATTGGAAGCGGTTGGATCGCTGTTGTCAATATATCTTCAAGTCCCAAATTTCTAATAGTTCGCGTTTATGTTATTTCGAATGCGTTAGCTTTGTTGTTGCCGTAGCATTTTTTTCCGCTTGTTTTTGTTTTGTTCGTTCGTGATATTATTGTCAAGAATCAAAAAAGCATTTGGTTTGGGTCAATTCATCCGTTGAATGTAGTTAGAGTTAGTTGTTTTTCACTCTCTCCGTGTTCATTCTTGTGTTCCTTTCCATATCAACGCTGCACAATGCCTGGCACCATGTGCGCGCGTTCTGTGCATGGAGAGTTTCATGTATATGAACAAACGCACACGATGAAGTGTGCACGTATCAAATGCTGATTTCCCACATTGCGCGGATAGATAGCCAGAGTGTGAGTGAACACCCGAAAAAAAGCACACCACAACCAAGAAGTAGAGAAAGAGAGACAGAAAATCCATGGGTTTCATTACATTTAACTGGTGCTTTCGTTGCATTTTATTGCTTTTACCGTTTTTGAATCGCTTTTTGTCTCTTTATCGACCGTATTTTCCTCTCAAATTGTTTCATTCTATTTGTTCTCGCTATGCTTACTCTCGATCTGCGTGTCTCTTTTCGCCATTCATGGCGGTGTGTGTGTGTGTGTGTGTGCATTTGTCAAATCGAAGCACTTGAAATGCATTGATTAAATTTACACACGTAAACCATTAAATAACAATTTTCTTTATTTTCTTTTATTTCTCCCCATTTCGAAAATGCACGTTTCCTCGCAACCGGTATTACACAATAAATGATTGTTGCTGTCACCACGGGCATTGTCGATGCCATCGTCGTTGTTTTTGTTGCTACTCCTGCTGTTGCTGCCACTGTCGCTGCCGATGATAATGCTGCTAATGCTGGTGCTTTGGCTTGTGCCTCCTGCCTTCGGTGTCGTTTGTCTTGGATTGAACAATGTCTTGGATTGAATTAAATGAACTTTTGTGTGAAATGGATTTTTGTTTATTGAAACGCTGTACGACGATCGATGTTACTGCCATCGTCGTCGATGCTGTTGCCGTTGCGGTCGTCACCCTATCCGCCGCTGCCGTCATCATTGTCACCACTACTGCCTCTGATGTAACTACTACTACTACTACTGATGCTGCTGCTGTTCGATATTAAACACAGGACATGTCTGAGTATAAATGCGAGAATGGCAAACCTCCGACATTCATACCCCACAAACCGGTTGCTGGTGTCATTGGTGCTTCGTTTAGCGTTGTTTCGATAATGGTAGCAAATATTTTACGATTATTTCGGGTAAGTGTAAAGCAACTACATTAAATATCATCAACATAATAGAAGTTTACAATTTAACGGAGAATAGAAAAAGCGTCTGCGTCTCTCTCTCTCTCTCTCTTGCTTATTTTTTGCACAATAAAGTACAAAGAGCACGAGCAAAATGGGTAAAAAGCGCGCCAAACAAAACTTTTACAAACTCAACAGCAAAGCATACACAGACACACGCACACAATACAAAAAATACGCACCAATCGAAATACAAATGAATTTTGTGCCAAAATTATATGCATAAAACCGTTTCGACAAGCACGAATCACAGAACTCCCCCCGGTTCAATTAATAAAATCGACGTTAATATTATTGTTGTTGTCGTCGTAGTCGTCGCCTTTTGTGTGCGGGAATTTACAATTTCATACAATTTGCTGAAATTAATTCGTTTCAAATCCAATCAAATTAATTAAAATGGACGAGCAACTGTGCGCTCTCCCTCTCCCTCTCTATGTGTATTAGCTTTGCAAAGTCAAACTAATTTTGTTTTTTGCCCGCTTCGTATTGCTAATCATTTAATTTTGATTTCTAATATTTTATTGATCGAATAATCACCGAATTCCAATTTATTTATACGCGCAAAAAAAAACACAAATCGATTAGCGACAATCAAAGCGATTTCAATCAAATATTTAGTTTTGTTATTATAAATTGAAAATATTTTATGATGAAAATTACGTTTTCAATTTAAAATATTTGCACAATTTTAAAAGGAGAAATCAACAGCAGCAAGCATGGTATGTGCCGTTGCTTTTCGTAATGCTGTGATGGATTTGAATGTGTAATGGGGTGATAATCGTCAAAAGCGTCATTCGCATTATTACATTTGGTGCTCGTTCGATGGGCTACATCACAATTTGTGTATCACTGTTGAGTAATGTTAGCATTCTCAATGTGTCTATGTGTGAAATACACGGAATATTTGCACTTCATGAGCATGTATCGAATGTTTTGTCGGCAAATAGGTGAACCCCATTTGTTCAAGCTTCTTTCTGTATTCTTCAATTTTGTTTGGCTTTTTTTGCTTCTCTTTCTTTCTACGTCTATCTATCTCTCTCTCTCTCTCTCTCTCTCTCTCTCTCTCTCTCTCTCTCTCT